ATTATTATTATTATTAACTAGACTTTGCAACTGATTAGATGATGAGAAAGGAAGAATAGAATAAAATAAAACTCACAGATGGGTTTGACAACTATCTGTGACCTGAGAGAGGGAGTGGTGGCCACATGATATGTGTAGGCCTGAGCTTTAGCATGGACTATGGGAGTGACAGTTACTGCAATTAACTCAGATTTCAAAACTGGAAGATTGGTGGTGCAATCAATACAAATAGGGAAGTCAAGAGAAGGAACTGATTTAGGGAGAAATATGAGCTCTGTTTTAGTCATGTTGATTTTCAAGGACCTAGTCTTGGGCTCAGAGATACTGATTTGGGAGTTACCTTCATAGAGGTTGTATAAGAAGTCATAGAAATGAATGGCTCACTTGGTAAGAAGAGAGTATAGGCTAGAAGAGAGCTGAAGACAGTCCATGGTGATTATTTACACTTAAGAGAATGAGAAGAGGAAGAGAAACACATGGGCCAAGGCATAGGAGCGATCAGATACAGGAAAACTAGGACAGTATTGCATCATAAGGGCCAAAGGATAGATTAAATAAGCAAGATGGAGAGTATCATTAAATGAGCGTTTAGCAGACTCTACCCCAGCACTCTGAGAAAAAATTTCAACAGGGTGCTGAGGTAGAGGCTCCATTACAAGAGCAGAGATTCAGACAAGTTGCCTTAAGCAAAGAGGTAAGCTCACTTACTGTGAGGATAAACACTCATTCCTCTACCACATTTGTTGAATGAGGCATTATGCTAGGCATAGGCATCCAGGAAGAGCCAAAGGACAGTGCTGTGGTTAATATAAACATCGATGTTCCACACTTGTTTCTCTCTATAAGTCTTGTCTCTACCAGCTGACTCCCTCCACCCTGCATCTCTACATTTCCTCTGCCTTCTGTTCAAAATTCATTTCCTTTATTCTGTTTCCTTATGACTCTCCGTGCCATGACCTTTCACATCCTGAACAGTACCTCACGGCAATCTGTAAGCTTTTGTTCCTGCTGTCAATTTCCGGATTCTCCCTTTGTTTCCAGATTCAAATTCACAAGAGGTTCTGGTTTTCCAGATCATCTTTTTGTATTAGGTCACATCTTGGATTGCTGGACAGTCTATGGAATGGGTTTGAAGCCCATCGGTGACCTGGGAGAGGGAGTCAGCCACATGATATGTATAGGCCTGACCTTTAGCATGGACTATGGGAGTGGCAGTTACTGCAATTAAGATATCTAGTGGGTATTAGGAATTAGTCTTAGTTTAAAATTCAAGTGTGCAAAGAATAGCACATAATATTTTCTGTAACACTGAATATTGACTTTGAGTCCTCATTGCTGTGGGCTGGAGAGAAATTCAATTGTAATCTGTGAGGAAAGGCATCCATACTGATTACTGCTGAAAGTCCATCACCCAATCTTGCTAAGATGGTATATTGACACCCTTCTCTAAATTCATAGATGATGGATAAAGTGTCAAAAACAATTTAAGCTTTGGTTTTTAAGTGGTAGAATAAAAACAGTGATTTTCTTAGAAACTCATCCTTCTTTAAGTCAAAACTATAAGGAAAATGAAAAATAGACTAACCATTGCAATGAAACTAGAGACATCAAATAGCCTGGACTATAATCTACGAGAAAGTACTGCCAAATATAGTGAAAGTCAAGCAGGAATGTGAAAGAGGATGCCTAGGGATGCAGATCTTACATAAAGGGAAAGTGACATAGTTCTCCAAGAAAATGCCCCATCCTATGGGCCAAGACCCACAAGCTATTGTACAGAACAATTGAAAGCAGGCAAGCAGGCTTGAGCTGGAGCTTCCCTACACCCATTTGTCACAAAAATTTGAGATATAGGGAAGATGAAGTTGAACAAAGACAAATAAGCTGTATTTGCAGGAAGCAGTCTGTTGGTGAGGTAGAGTGGAGGAGATAGACTGTTCGTTGTAAGAAACCCTACAATGCTGATCATGGGGAAAAAAGAACTCATGCACACATTGTTTCATAAAGAAAATAGCCTCAAATATGGTTCCACCTCCACCCTCATACAAGTCTCGTGCAAATAGCTGGCTCAGGAAGAACTCACCTCATTCAGAGATGTTTTCGAAAACACAGCTGGGTGCAGTGGTACGGAGCCCATAATCCCATAATCCCAGCTACTCCGGAGGCTGAGGAAGGATC